TCAAAATGGCTCGTAATTCAGAAAAAGCTATGACAGCATTAGCTCGTTGGAGACAATTACAATTAAAAGAACAAGGAAAACTTCGTGTTGATCGTCGTCCACATTTAGCTAGTGAAGAATTAAATGTAAAAAAAGCTGAGAAATGGCGATATCAAGTTGTACGTGAAATAGCTCGAAAAGTAGCACAGATTCAAAATGGTATAAATAAAATTTATTCATGAATAATTTTCTTATTATTATACGATTTCATTTTAGCCGGTCTTGGTGAATATAAAATTCGTGATCTTAATGATGAAATTAATAAACTGCTACGTGAAAAATCTCATTGGGAAGATCGTGTGAAAGAACTTGGTGGGACGGATTTTAAAAAAACAGCACCAAAAATGCTTGATAATGAAGGAAAGGAAGTACCTGGTAATCGTGGTTACAAGTAAAAGAAAAAAAATTTTTATTAAAACAAAAAAAGTAATTCCTTGTTTTATTTTTGTAAAGATATTTCGGTGCTGCAAAAGATTTACCCGGTGTACGAGAATTATTCGAACAAGAAGGTAAGAAATGTATATCTATTATCTTATTATCTATTTATTCGTTGAATTTCAGGAGTATCACAACCAAAAAAAACATCGTGGTGAAATGTTAAAAAATATTGATGCAGATTATTATGGTTATATGGATGATGATGATGGTTTACTTATTCCAGCTGAAGAAAAATGTGAAAAAGAAGCAATTAGAAAAAAAATTGAAGAATGGAAAACTACTGAAAAAAAAAGATGTTGAAATGGATGAAGTCTATGTTGTACCAGAAATGAATGTAAGTCATAAAATTCTATAATTCAATAGGAAATAGTCTGTTCTAGCGAAGTAACAATTGAATATTTTTTATTTAGTCTGACGATGAAGATTATGTTGTTGGTCGAGCAACTCGACCAGAGATTGATGTTGCATCCAAAGATCATGTATTTATCGCACATGTACCTGTTCCTAGTCAAAAAGATGTAAGTTTTATTAACATATTGGGGAAAAAAACAACAAAACATATAATGTGTATATTTAGATTGAACGTGCATTATTAGATCGGAAGAAACAAGAATTACTTGCTAAATATGTATCTGATGATCTTTTGAAAGAAGAACAAGAATCAAAAGATTTACTTGGAAAATAAAATATTAACAAATTTGTGTCGTCTTTCTCTTTCTCTGTTTCTTTTTGTTTATCTATTCTTACAAATAAACAAAATTTCTGTAATGGACTTTGAGCAAACATAACTCAAGATGTATTTTGTGATAATTTCAGATACGAAAACATGCATTGGTTGTTTGCATTCATTATTCTTTTAATTATTTGTTTAATTCATTTATTTATTTGTCCATATACAAAAGTTGAAGAAAGTTTCAATCTACAAGCTATTCACGATCTTTTAATTCATCGATTGAACATATCAAATGTAAGATAGAAAGCTTTTTTTAAATAGAAATATTTAATTCTAATTTTAGTATGATCATTTAGAATTTCCTGGAGGTATAAAATCGACAAATAACAAAAACTTAGACATATCATTATGTTTATTTAGTTGTACCTCGAACATTTCTCGGACCGATATTTGTTGCAATATTAGCTTGGCCTTTTACAAACATTTCATTGAATCATCATCTTCTTTATTTACAATATATTGGTAAAGAAAACATATATTAATTTCAAAAAATAAAAACGATTTTATATTTAAGTTCGAATTATTCTTGGTCTACTAGTCATTTCCGGTTTAATTCATTTATATAAGTCATTAAAAGGTTATTGTGATTTATCAACAAGACGTTGGTGGCTTTTTGTGATAGTGACACAATTTCATTTTTTATTTTATTCCACACGAACATTACCAAATATATTTGCAGTTGTTATTGGTTTGTTGTTCTATTATTTTGAAGAAATATTCGAAATAAATTAGTTTCTTTTAGTTTTACATTCATTTGCATTTTGGCTTTCCGGACAAGGGAAATTACTCGTATGGACATCTGCGTTTGCAATACTTATTTTTCGATCTGAACTTGTTATTTTATTGGGTTTAATTTTATTACAAGAAGTTTTCATTAAAAAACATTTAACTTTTACGAAAACAATCATTCATGGATTGATTGCTAGTTGTTTAGCTATTGGTAAATGAAATATATATTTATTGATTTTAACAGATAATTTATCTATAGGATTGAGTACACTTGTTGATAGTTGGTTTTGGCAACGTTGGTTATGGCCTGAAGGTGAAGTGCTGTATTTTAATACAATTCTTAATAAAAGTTCACATTGGGGTGTAAGAAAAATAAGATATTCAATTTTCTCTTAACCTTTTGATTTCTACAGACATTTCCATTATTATGGTATTTTTATTCTGTTCTACCACGAGCACTTGGTGCATCGCTTATACTTTTACCATTAGGTTTAATTGTTAATAAACATCTTCGATGGATTATATTGCCAAATGTATTATTTATTATAATCTATTCAATTTTACCACATAAAGAACTTCGATTTATTATCTATACATTTCCAATTTTAAATATATCGATTGCTCAAGGATGTTCATATTTGTTCGTATAAAATTTTACGCATTGTTTTCTTAATATATTCTTTTTTGTTTTATTATATAAAGATTTCAAACAAGAAGACGTTGGTCAATTGTTGTTAAATTATTTGTGTTGGGTTTATTATCAATAAATATGATTCAAACAGGTATCTCATTGATCGCTTCACATTATAATTATCCAGGAGCAAATGCTTTACTTCAACTTCAAGCATATAAAAAATGTAAAATTTCTACTTTACATTTCTTAAAGATTCATTCGATTATTGGTTTCAGCTGAATAAACATCAATATGAACGGTCGCTGTTGATTCATCTGAAACCAATAATCGAATGAATCTTTAAGAAATGTAAAGTAGAAATTTTACATTTTTTATATGCTTGAAGTTGAAGTAAAGCATTTGCTCCTGGATAATTATAATGTGAAGCGATCAATGAGATACCTGTTTGAATCATATTTATTGATAATAAACCCAACACAAATAATTTAACAACAATTGACCAACGTCTTCTTGTTTGAAATCTTTATATAATAAAACAAAAAAGAATATATTAAGAAAACAATGCGTAAAATTTTATACGAACAAATATGAACATCCTTGAGCAATCGATATATTTAAAATTGGAAATGTATAGATAATAAATCGAAGTTCTTTATGTGGTAAAATTGAATAGATTATAATAAATAATACATTTGGCAATATAATCCATCGAAGATGTTTATTAACAATTAAACCTAATGGTAAAAGTATAAGCGATGCACCAAGTGCTCGTGGTAGAACAGAATAAAAATACCATAATAATGGAAATGTCTGTAGAAATCAAAAGGTTAAGAGAAAATTGAATATCTTATTTTTCTTACACCCCAATGTGAACTTTTATTAAGAATTGTATTAAAATACAGCACTTCACCTTCAGGCCATAACCAACGTTGCCAAAACCAACTATCAACAAGTGTACTCAATCCTATAGATAAATTATCTGTTAAAATCAATAAATATATATTTCATTTACCAATAGCTAAACAACTAGCAATCAATCCATGAATGATTGTTTTCGTAAAAGTTAAATGTTTTTTAATGAAAACTTCTTGTAATAAAATTAAACCCAATAAAATAACAAGTTCAGATCGAAAAATAAGTATTGCAAACGCAGATGTCCATACGAGTAATTTCCCTTGTCCGGAAAGCCAAAATGCAAATGAATGTAAAACTAAAAGAAACTAATTTATTTCGAATATTTCTTCAAAATAATAGAACAACAAACCAATAACAACTGCAAATATATTTGGTAATGTTCGTGTGGAATAAAATAAAAAATGAAATTGTGTCACTATCACAAAAAGCCACCAACGTCTTGTTGATAAATCACAATAACCTTTTAATGACTTATATAAATGAATTAAACCGGAAATGACTAGTAGACCAAGAATAATTCGAACTTAAATATAAAATCGTTTTTATTTTTTGAAATTAATATATGTTTTCTTTACCAATATATTGTAAATAAAGAAGATGATGATTCAATGAAATGTTTGTAAAAGGCCAAGCTAATATTGCAACAAATATCGGTCCGAGAAATGTTCGAGGTACAACTAAATAAACATAATGATATGTCTAAGTTTTTGTTATTTGTCGATTTTATACCTCCAGGAAATTCTAAATGATCATACTAAAATTAGAATTAAATATTTCTATTTAAAAAAAGCTTTCTATCTTACATTTGATATGTTCAATCGATGAATTAAAAGATCGTGAATAGCTTGTAGATTGAAACTTTCTTCAACTTTTGTATATGGACAAATAAATAAATGAATTAAACAAATAATTAAAAGAATAATGAATGCAAACAACCAATGCATGTTTTCGTATCTGAAATTATCACAAAATACATCTTGAGTTATGTTTGCTCAAAGTCCATTACAGAAATTTTGTTTATTTGTAAGAATAGATAAACAAAAAGAAACAGAGAAAGAGAAAGACGACACAAATTTGTTAATATTTTATTTTCCAAGTAAATCTTTTGATTCTTGTTCTTCTTTCAAAAGATCATCAGATACATATTTAGCAAGTAATTCTTGTTTCTTCCGATCTAATAATGCACGTTCAATCTAAATATACACATTATATGTTTTGTTGTTTTTTTCCCCAATATGTTAATAAAACTTACATCTTTTTGACTAGGAACAGGTACATGTGCGATAAATACATGATCTTTGGATGCAACATCAATCTCTGGTCGAGTTGCTCGACCAACAACATAATCTTCATCGTCAGACTAAATAAAAAATATTCAATTGTTACTTCGCTAGAACAGACTATTTCCTATTGAATTATAGAATTTTATGACTTACATTCATTTCTGGTACAACATAGACTTCATCCATTTCAACATCTTTTTTTTCAGTAGTTTTCCATTCTTCAATTTTTTTTCTAATTGCTTCTTTTTCACATTTTTCTTCAGCTGGAATAAGTAAACCATCATCATCATCCATATAACCATAATAATCTGCATCAATATTTTTTAACATTTCACCACGATGTTTTTTTGGTTGTGATACTCCTGAAATTCAACGAATAAATAGATAATAAGATAATAGATATACATTTCTTACCTTCTTGTTCGAATAATTCTCGTACACCGGGTAAATCTTTTGCAGCACCGAAATATCTTTACAAAAATAAAACAAGGAATTACTTTTTTTGTTTTAATAAAAATTTTTTTTCTTTTACTTGTAACCACGATTACCAGGTACTTCCTTTCCTTCATTATCAAGCATTTTTGGTGCTGTTTTTTTAAAATCCGTCCCACCAAGTTCTTTCACACGATCTTCCCAATGAGATTTTTCACGTAGCAGTTTATTAATTTCATCATTAAGATCACGAATTTTATATTCACCAAGACCGGCTAAAATGAAATCGTATAATAATAAGAAAATTATTCATGAATAAATTTTATTTATACCATTTTGAATCTGTGCTACTTTTCGAGCTATTTCACGTACAACTTGATATCGCCATTTCTCAGCTTTTTTTACATTTAATTCTTCACTAGCTAAATGTGGACGACGATCAACACGAAGTTTTCCTTGTTCTTTTAATTGTAATTGTCTCCAACGAGCTAATGCTGTCATAGCTTTTTCTGAATTACGAGCCATTTTGA